GACATGTGATGGTATTGATAAAGACATGTGATGGTATTGATAAAGACATGTGATGGTATTGGTAAAGACATGTGATGGTATTGGTAAAGACATGTGATGGTATTGATAAAGACATGTGATGGTATTGTTAAAGACATGTGATGGTATTGGTAAAGACATGTGATGGTATTGATAAAGACATGTGATGGTATTGGTAAAGACGTGTGATGGTATTGGTAAAGACGTGTGATGTTATTGATAAAGACGTGTGATGGTATTGATAAAGACATGTGATGGTATTGATAAAGACATGTGATGGTATTGGTAAAGACATGTGATGGTATTGATAAAGACATGTGATGGTATTGATAAAGACATGTGATGGTATTGGTAAAGACATGTGATGGTATTGGTAAAGACATGTGATGGTATTGGTAAAGACATGTGATGGTATTGGTAAAGACATGTGACGGTATTGGTAAAGACATGTGATGGTATTGGTAAAAAAGACATGTGATGGTATTGGTAAAGACATGTGATGGTATTGGTAAAGACATGTGATGGTATTGGTAAAGACATGTGATGGTATTGGTAAAGACATGTGATGGTATTGATAAAGACATGTGATGGTATTGGTAAAGACATGTGATGGTATTGATAAAGACATGTGATGGTATTGATAAAGACATGTGATGGTATTGGTAAAGACATGTGATGGTATTGGTAAAGACATGTGATGGTATTGGTAAAGACGTGTGATGGTATTGGTAAAGACATGTGACGGTATTGGTAAAGACATGTGATGGTATTGGTAAAGACATGTGATGGTATTGGTAAAGACATGTGATGGTATTGATAAAGACATGTGATGGTATTGGTAAAGACATGTGATGGTATTGGTAAAGACATGTGATGGTATTGATAAAGACATGTGATGGTATTGGTAAAGAGATGACAGTGATTGTTTGGAAGATGAAAGAAAAGGATGGTGAGTATTGATTGAGGGGCAGGGCGAATAGGAAATGAATGAATGGAAAAGAAAGAGGTGGATTAAGGGAAGAGGCAGAAAGGGGGGAAAAGAAGAGGAGATAGAGAGAAAGGTATGAAGAGGGGAGGGGAGATAGTAGAAAATATGAACAGGGAGTTGTGGTAGAGAGAGGTGTATAATGAGAGTTAAGACAATATGACTGCGAGATATAGATGATGAGGGAGAAGATATAGCCTACAGATAAATGACGGGGGTGATTAAGATGAGGAAGAAGAGGGAGACATTCATAAAGCGTGAGAGAAAATGGGAAAGAGTGAGTGGTAACGAGAGCCAGAGAGAGAGAGAGAAAATATGAGAGACAAAGATTTTAAGAGACACATAGATAGTGAGAGAGAAAGAGAGAGAGAGGCCGAGAGAATGGTGAAAAAAAGAGAGAATGGGCGGAAGAAAGACCGAGAAAAAGAGAGAGAAAGAGAATAGAAGGAGAAATACAGAGTGAGGAGGAGGAAAAGTTAGAAATAAAGAGAAAAAGTATGAGAGCCAAAGATAGGGAGAGAGTGACCGAGAACGAGAGAAGATAGGCAATAGATTGATAGGAAAATTGAGAGAGAAGAGAGAGAGAGAGAGAGAAAGAGAGACCTAGAGAGAGAAAGAGAGAGAGACCGAGAAAAGAATAAAGATAGAGAAAAAACTAAATATCTTTTAAACAGAATCTATTCCATTACTGCCAGCTTGAGACGAGGATATGACATGTGGACGTCTCTGTCTACATGGACGCAACAACAACAGAAGATAAGTCTGACCCCATCAGATTAAGACAGAGCGACTGGAAGATACGCTCGTTGGACGTTGGACACACGCATGCTACAGTCATGTCTCCATGTTTCTGTGGCTAATTAAAAGGTCACATCAAGTCACACTTAGACGTACAATGTTTCTGTGGCTAATTAAGTCATATCAAGTAGAATTTAGACTTATCCAACGTTTCTGATCAAAAGTCATATCAAGTCACATTTAGACATGCAATCATTTTTAAAAAAAATGATGTGAAAGATACAGTAGCTGCTAGCTACAGACTGATGTTGTAGTCGACTGGAGGAATTTCAATTCATGGCCATTCATCGCTGTAACAGATAGAAAGGATATATCGATTTTCATGGATTTAATGTTATATATAGACAGGTGAGTTGATCACTAATATGTGTCATAATTCTATGTTTATTGATACACTTGTTTGTTAGCCTTGTACAAATTAAACTTTAGATGTCATTTGGTTGGGGGCGGGGGGAAGGGTGGTTTGAGTTGTTTGCTGAGAAGACATAGATTATATACATCGACATATTTTGTAAGAGAAAAAACTATGGGGATTTATATTAAATGACATTGACAAAATAGAAATTTGGGTAAGAAAAATAGAGAGAGAAATTAAGAAGGGTGAGAGAGAGAGAGAGAGAGAGAGAGAGAAACAGAAAGAGCGAAGTCGAGAGAGAAACAGAGGCAACAAGACAAAAAATGGTGGAGGACGAGAGAGAGAAAGAGAATTAGAGAGAACGAGAGAGAGAGAAAGAGAAAGTTTTTAGAAAGACAGAAAGAAGGAAAGATAAATTAAGAGAGATATTCAGAGATAGATAGAGAGAGAGAGAGAGAGAGAGAGAGAGAGAGAGAGAGAGAGAGAAATACATTTAATTATCTACAGATGGCGATAGGTAGTTCAGTTTTTGCAATAGTTCGAAAAATAAAATGAAATATTAATAAATCGAGGAAATACTTGTGCAGAACTGAATACATTTATTCTGTGTCATTGTACTCAAATAAAGGCGCGCCCTGAGCGAAGCCTGAATTAACCCCCTCCCCCCCCCCCATTTTTTCATCAATAAATGTTATATGATTAGGCTTTCTGCTTTCTTTATATATAAAGAAAGTTTACGATTTTGGCGGCCCCCTACTCGAGGCTGGCGCCCCGGGCGGTTTCCCCCTTTAAACTCTACCTCCACAAACCCCATATTGTATATATTAGATAGATAGAGAGAGAGAGCGAGAGAGAGAGAGAGAGAGAGAGAGAGAGAGAGCGAGAGAGTGAGAGGGAGAGAGAGAGGTGGAGAGACAAAGACAGAGAAAGAGCGAGAGAGATATGGTCGGAGAGAGCAAGTGAAAACGAGAGAGAGCGAGAGAGAGAGTGAAAGAGAGAGAGGGAGAGAGCTAGAGAGAGAGAGAGAGAGAGCGAGAGAGCACTAATTACTGGAAGGTATAGAGATAGAATGATAAAGACAGAGGGGGCATGGGTGGAAACGTGTTTTTTTTTCCTGCACCCACCCCCATGTTCCTAAACAAGACATGCCGCTTCTGATCTACGGTTATGCTCAGCCGTTCACTCAGTTATCTCTCTCCCCCATACCCCCCACCCCCACACTTCAAGACAGGATGGTTTACTGCCTACAGGTGGACTGACTTCCGCGAGTTATTAACACCCCCCCCCCCCGACTCCACGCTCGAGGTTAAAGGCCACACGGGTCCCGGAATAAATTGGGTGCTTTAAGTAACTTAAGTAACTACATGGCAGCCAGGTTCCCAGAAGTCTGCCCATGTACCGGGGCCCAGACCCAATTTAATTGGTCGAATAGCTCGACGGTTCTTAAACCTTGATGATCAATATCATTTTTTTATTTATTTTTGTTTAAATTTTAAATTTAGGCGCAGGCCAAGGGGGGCGGAGGGGGGAATCTTTAGGTTTAAATAAATTGATTTAGTTAGACTTTAAATTATTAATTCGCTTTTTAGGTGACTCAGAGACGACCTCGTCGACTGCATGTCAAGAGTAACAGACTGACTCATGAAAGGAGTTTCCAAAGCATCTGAAGATCTGCTAATAATAAAATATATAATATGTATATTAGAGTTAAGAAAAAATAAATGAACAGATAAATGTAGACGTAATGTCAGTAGGCAGTAGGCATAGATCATTTTACGACTTGATATATTCTAAGTTTAATTTATCCACGCAGGGGGCGAGGCGAGGTTTGGTGTCACCCGAGGCGAGCCACCCCCTACCGTACCAACCGTCCTGCGCCACTGTCTTCAAAATCAAACACGGTATCAGAGGCGTGTCTATGGTGTTTGGCGCCCGAGGGACAAGATTCATTTTAAAGCGCCCCCCCCCCCACACTTTTCCTTTCTTTTTTCAACTCTCAAACCCATTATTTTCATCAATGCAATAATATCAAAGCACATTTTGGGGCCACTAACTAGTCTGGCGCCCAGGGACATCTGTCCCCCTGCTCCCCATTAGCTACGCCTCTGCGCGGTTTCCCGCCCCACACTTAACCTCGCCCCCTGACTGCCCCCCAATATACAAACACATTCAAGCCTACTAAGAAAGTACCTTTCCCTATTAAGTTATGACCCAAGCCTGGTGACATGGGTAATGTATGACCGTGACGGAAGTCTTTGACACTGTCCCGTGGCACGCGTGCTGACAATGAGAGGGTGGCCATTGTCTCGACCCTCTATGCACAACAACAGACGATCGCCATCTTCAACACCTAGGTCTGGTTTTTACAAGAATCTCTCAATGTACGGTAACTGGCTGGTACATGTGGCTGTTATCTGTGGCTGTTATCTGTGGCTAGTGTCTGTGGCTGGTATCTGTGGCTGGTGGGTCTGGTGTCTGTGGCTGGAATCTCTGGTTGGTATCTGTGGCTTGTACATCTGTGGCTGGTATCTGTGGCTGGTGGGTCTGGTGTCTGTAGCTGGCGTCTCTGGTTGGTATCTGTGGCTTGTACATCTGTGGCTGGTATCTGTGTCTGGTGGGTCTGGTGTCTGTAGCTGGTATATCTGGTTGGTATCTGTGGCGTGTACATCTGTGGCTGGTATCTATGGCTGGTGGGTCTGGTGTCTGTGGCTGGTATCTCTGGTTGGTATCTGTGGCGTGTACATCTTTGGCTGGTATCTGTGGCTGGTGGGTCTGGTGTCTGTGGCTGGTATCTCTGGTTGGTATCTGTGGCTTGTACATATGTGGCTGGTATCTGTGGCTGGTATATCTGTGGCTGGTATCTGTGTACTCTAGTTTACTTAAATGTTTCACATCTCGTTCATAATTCTGCACGAAAAAGAATTATTAGTATCTTTATTTTATTATAATTTTTTTTTCTTAACATTTTTTTTTTTAAAAACGTCAAATCACGTGACCCTTGCTTTATCCACTAACGTGTATTGCAGTTTTAATAATTGTGCCACAGCGACATGTAAGCGTGTGTTAAGGTAAGCGACACCTGTATCAGGTAAGAGTTTATCAAGTGCCACACTTTTTTAAATCGGAAACTTAAACATTATAATGAAAATTGTTCTTAATTTTTGAAAAGCACACCAATACAATAGTGTTTTTTTTGTTTTTGGTGTTTTTTTTTTTTTTTGGTTTGGAGGGGGGGGATATTGTGTAAGGCCGGGATGGTTGACAAAAAAAGTAGGGTTGGGGGGGGGGGGTCCGAAAAGACCTTCCTCACAATCCGGAATATGTTGCACCACGTCACTAAGTCATATTTATGACGAGCTATAATACACAGCTGAATGTGCTCGAAGACATAACTCTTTAAAGATCAACGCAATAACCCTGTGGTTTTTCAACTTACATGTCTCAATCAGCTTCTGTTAAAAAAACACAACTTTACCTTACCTGATTTTAACCACTGTCGTTGCTCGCTCGAAGGACCAAAGGAAATGGATGTACGAACGTCAGTCATTGTCCATATTTTACAGTCGGAAGACACGTCCTATCTCAAAGCACTCATGACGCCTTATGTACCCACTAGACAGCTCCACTCATCCGTTGGTGGCAAAATATCGATACCGCGTGTTCGCCCTGAGACTTACGGAAAGCGCACTTTTGCATTTGCTGGCCCCAACAATTTGGAACGCCCTTTCCTGTCGTTCTCAGAAACAGCCAGACACTGGAGTCCTTTAAAACCGAGTTAAAAACACATCTATTTCGCAAACACCGTCTGGGGTGATGCTATCTACCAATTGTTCGAGTTAATGTATATTGGCTTGTGTGGCTTATGGTTGAAATGGGATGAAATACTTTGACTTGGGTGCTCGTATGTAGCTCTTTTTTTACTGTTGCGTCTGTTTTTAAATGAGGTAAATTTTAGATTGTTTTTATTTCTCTTTTCAATATGGTTGACTTTGTACTTTGTACCTCGCTTCGATCTTTTGAGGATGAAGCGTGTTTTTCAAATAAACTTTATTATTATTATTAATATTAATATATTAAATGCCATGGACAAGATCAATATACTCTTTGATTCCTTTAGAATATTTGGACAAATAAACATTTAAATTAAAAAAAAAATAATCTTATCTTGCAGCTAACTAAAGGAGAAAAAAACAATACACAAAGGGAAAGCATTCACTGCTAATTGATTCAGAGATTACTCCCCCAAAAGGACATCTAAGGGACATGACTCAAGAAAAAACTTCAAGGGGCAACTACTCATATATCACTAAAGAGAAATGACTGGTCAAATAAACTTTAGAAAATATCTCATCAGATTACATTGCTGATTATTATTAGTCTACGTCGAAGAGCGCCCCCCCCCCAACATGAATCTCGACCAACTGACCCGCGTCCTGGGGGAGTTCGGTCCCTACCAGAGACAGAAATACCTGCTGATGTGCCTGTTCTCCACACTGTCCGCCTTCCACGCCCTCAACATGGTCTTCGTGGGGGCGGAGCCCAAGTTTCACTGCAGACTCCCCGACACGAACCTCAGCGAAACGCCGCTGGCCAACCTGACCGACTCCCAAAAGTCCGAACTGTTCCTGCCGCCCGGCCAGCCGTGCCGCGTCTACAACGTCGCGGAGATGACGTCACAGCTGGAGCGTCTCGCGTACAACGTCACGGCGGCGGCGCTGATGACGTCGTCACACAACGTCAGCCAGCAGACGTGCACGACCGGATACGACTACGCCAGGGACGAATACTCGAGTACCATAACATCGGATGTAAGATTTTTTGCCTACCCTATTTTAGAATAAAAAGGGTTTCGGTTGTTGTTGTTTTTTTTTTCTTTCTGGTTTTGGAATGTTAGAATTATATCTTTTCCAATGATATGAGGGAGGACTGCGTTTGGGTTGAAGAAATAATAAGGCACGCAATTGCACATTGTATTCATTGCCTTGAACTATTATAATGTTCTAATTCCCACCCGCCTTTACACTGCAGATTTATTTTTATATCCCCAACAATTTTAGATGTCCCCAACAATTTTTAGATGCCCCCAACAATTTTTAGATGTCCCCAACAATTTTTAGATGTCCCCAACAATTTTTAGATGTCCCCAAAAATTTTAGATGTCCCCAACAATTTTTAGTTGTCCCCAAAAATTTTAGATGTCCCCAACAATTTTTAGATGTCCCCAACAATTTTGGATGCCCCCCCCCACAATTTTTAGATGTCCCCAACAATTTTAGATGTCCCCAACAATTTTAGATGTCCCCAACAATATTTTAAAAACAAAAGAAAATATTACGCTCCAAACGCACTTTCGATATTTAAAAAAAAAAAAGGTTCTCATTGTGTGCGCTTATCGGGAATTTCATTTGATCTTCCCCTTAAATAAAACAGGAACAACTGATTTTTTTTTTGGGGGGGGGGGGGGGTTAGCGCTGAAAACTTGACGGAATGTCCTGCCATCGGCAACGAGCCTATACGTGCCAAGGCCAAGTTTCAGCTCGATAGGTTGACGGGAAATGTGTGTCATTGGCCAAAAAACAAAAGAAAATATTACGCCCCAAACGCAATTTCGATATTAAAAAAAAAAAAAGGTTCTCATTGTGTGCGCTTATCGGGAATTTCATTTGATCTTCCCCTTAAATAAAACAGGAACAACTGATTTTTTTTTTGGGGGGGGGAGGGGGTTAGCGCTGAAAACTTGACGGAATGTCCTGCCATCGGCAACGAGCCTATACGTGCCAAGGCCAAGTTTCAGCTCGATAGGTTGACGGGAAATGTGTGTCATTGGCCGTCGAAAGATTTTCGCCAGCTCACCACCCATAGCCAAGAAAACAAAACAAGGAAATTTAATATAAAAAGATAATAAAATTTTAAAAAAAAAAACAACCCAACCCTTTCAGGAGAAAACCGGAGAAAGTTGTTTTTTTTTTGTTGTTTTTCCTCCGGTTGTCCAGCCGTCCCGAGTTTTATATTTCTCATGTTTAAATGGAAGCTCTCGTTCGTGGTATCTTAGCATTATAAGCACTAGAGGCGAGTGTTACTTTATCATGTTCCCACCTGTTGTAGTTATATCAATATTTAAATTTGGTTTTTGATCATTGAAAAAAAAAATGTGTTTGCGCCTGACAGTTCGATCTGGTGTGTGAGAACAAGTACTGGAGGAGCACCTCCAGGTCGGTCTTCTTCGGCGGTCGTCTCGTGGGCGCCATTGTGTTTGGTCAGCTGTCGGACAGGTGAGCATAAAAACGTCTGTTTACCTTTCTTTATGAGACCATAGTATCTACCCGATAGACCGTTAGAAAGACTAGTCTGACCGGAAGTGGAAGTGAATATATGACTTTTCTCTCTCTCTTTAAAAAAAAAAAAAAAAAGATACATTATTCCATATTATAATTTTTGAAATATTTTATGAATTTCAGAGTTTGTCTATCGAAAGAGTTTTTAAAAAAAACAAAAAAACAAAAACAAAAAAAAACGTGTCATGAAATGGTCATTCCAGGTTCGGCAGACGACCGATGTTCCTGTTCGGGGTCCTCACACTGTTAATAGCAGGGGTTGTAGCCTCCCTGGCGCCCAACATGTTCGTCTTTTTGCCGATGTACTTCCTGCAAGGGGCGGCGCACACCGGGGCGTTCCTTGTGGCGTTTACATTGTGTAAGTCAACGGTTCTAAAACCTCTGCGGCCCAGAACCCCGGGTCAGTCATAACGTCACTGTTAACTAAAGAATGTTGAATCGACTGAAAATCTATTCACATTGTTATTATATTTTGATATGTGCATGTTTGAATCGGTTAAGTGTATTTTAAAATTTCATTAATCATCGCATCGTTCACATTAGTATATAGTAATGAGTATACTCTTCGTTCCTTTAGTGCTAATTCTCAATTAAGATGGAACGAAGTCTTTCACGGGGCAACTATTGACATAGTACATTTTTTTAAAATAAAAAGGTTTATTTCCTATCATAGGTGGAGCTCATGTGTAGGACTTATAGTAGACTTGCAGTATAATAAAAGAAAGATGTGTACAGTGTATTTCATTTTTTAACGATGACAGCTCCAAAAAGCTAAAAATAGCTGTTTAATCCACTGTTTACAGCCACTGAGCTCGTGGGCCCCAAGTACCGAGTTGTCGCTGGGTTCGTCATTCAGATTTTCTACGGCCTGGGGTACCTCGGTCTGTCCGGCATTGCGTATTTCATCAGAGACTGGCGCTACCTGGAGCTGGCCATCACCCTACCCGCTGTCTTGTTTGGTGTGTACTGGTGGTAAGGTCATGGCGTTGCAAACCGAATCTTACTTATTTATTTATTTTTTTGTATGGTGTGTATGTGTATGTGGGTATGTGTGTGTGGGTATGTGTGTGTGTGTTTGTGTGTATGTGATAGAAGATTATGATAAAATTACACATTTTTAGACATGCATTCTCAGTGTAAAAACACAACATGCATACACAGTGTCCAGACACAACATGCATACAGTGTCCAGACACATACACAGTGTCCAGACACAGCATGCATCAAATCAATCAATTCATTTATTCGTTAAAAAAAAAAAAGTAGACTATTCTATCACACGTGCAACTTAAACAGACATTGCTAAATATATGTAGCACAGTTGGCTGGTCTCACGAAACCATGGCTACGAAATACGCACATGCATTTTAGACAGGGGCGTAGCTGGCCGGAGGGAGTCCTGGGGTCTCGACCGCCCCCCCTCCTTGCTGGTGCCAATATACTTTGTCAATGACCCAAATCCGACGAGTGCTCAAAGGATGGCTAAGGTTGAACCCCCTCTCCCTGCCCAAAAAATTAGTCATCAACGCCCCTGCTTTTATATATTGGTTTCTTAAGGTAAAACCATCAACCCACCACGTCCTTGCAACAGCCCATGCAATCCGCTGTTAACTTTCTTATAAGATACACCTGTCTGCAACAATAATACCCCATCTGTTAGTATAATGCCTATAGCTTTGCACCGCATTCAGTCGGCAAATCGCAGAGGCAGACCTCTTTCAGTTTTTCGCCCCCTCAGGCTCTTGCCAGAGTCCATACCTTGGTTGTTGTCGCAAGGGCGAGACGACGAGGCGGAGGCCATCTTGAGAAAAGCGGCCAAACAAAATGGCGTCGAGGTGGAGCAGCGGTTTTTCGTGAAGTTGAAAGAGGACACGACTCTGAAAGGGGGAGACCGGAAGTACTACGTCCTCGACTGTTTGAGGACCTGGCGCATGGCGGCGATGTCCCTCAACGTCTGGTTCAACTGGTGAGTACTGGATGGTACTATAAACATGGAAAGTGAATTTGGGTGAAATGAGTAGAGTTTTAATCAAGTTAGATCAGTGGTTCTCAACCTTCCTAAAGCTGCGACCCTTCAGTGCAGTTCCTCATGTTGTGGTGACCCCAACCATAAAATTATTTTCGTTGCTACTTCATTATATGTGTTATCTTTTATGTGACCCCCGTGTAAGGGTCATTCGATCCCCCCCCCCCAAAAGGGGTCGTGACCCACCGGTTGAGAACTGCTAGGACAGGTGGTGGTTTTAATTACTTCAACAAAGACCCCCGTGTAAGGGTCATTTGTTCCCCCCCCCCAAAAGGGGTCGTGACCCACCGGTTGAGAACTGCTAGGACAGGTGGTGGTTTTAATTACTTCAACAACCCCCCCCCCCCAAAGTTGCTAGAACATGTCACTGGAGATTGCGTAGCCATATCTGTAGCATGCTGCCGGGTAAGTAATCTTCATGGAAGGTCCAGAGAGAACGATACAGGGGAAGACCCAGCGAGAGAGAGAGAGGACCGGTGAATGGTCATCGGAACAGAGATCTGGATCCTGCGGGCAGCTCACAATGAAAGACGCCTCAAGCCATAAGTGTCGTCCCTTGAGCCGTTGCCCAAAGCACGAGTTGGCGAATGAAGCTTCAGTGAATGAATGCCACGTCTTTAGTTACATAAAGTATTCCATATAATGGATTAATAAAATGAGTTTGATGATAAATAAACTAGAAGGGCCGAGTAGAAAAAGTACTTATTAAGTATTAAGTGTTTGTTGTTGTTTTTTTTTGTTTGTTTGCAGTTTTGAGAAAAATGAGTTTAAAGATATTAAAGTCATATTGAAGTACCTTATAAACTTTTCAAGGTGTTTTCTAAATCCTACGCTTTAGTATATTTTTAATGAATGATATGTACTGTAAAGATGCAGGGAATTAATCAAATTATATAATGCCTTCCTTAACTTATTTTGTAAATCAGATAAGACAACTCCCCCCCCCCCCGGGCCTCCATTTTTTTTTACAACGATACATTTTTTCCAATCTAAAATGACGCCCCCGATTTAATTTGTGACCCCCCCCCCTATCAGGCTCGTCAACTCACTCGTGTTCTACGGCATCTCGTTGAACTCGGAGAACATGTCCGGCGACCCGTACCTGAACTTTTGCATGATCGGCGGCGTCGGCATCCTGGCCTACGTCCTGTGCCTGGTGCTGGTCGGCCGGACGGGGCGGCGCCTGTCCCTCATCGTCACCATGTGCGTCGGGGGCGTGGCGTGCGTCATCGCCGGATTCTTCATCACCAAAGATGAACCGGGTAATCTTGTGAAATTTTCATCCCGAATTTAAAAAAAAAAAAAAAAAAAAAAGAATTAAAATATATTGTTGTGAAAATAGCCAAACACTAACTTGTTCGCTATTGATTTTTATGTGATGTAAAAAAAAAAAAAAAAAAAAAAGAATTAAAAAATATTGTTGTGAAAATAGCCAAACACTAACTTGTTCGCTATTGATTTTTATGTGATGTAATACATTTTCACATGTTTAAAAAAAAAAAAATCAATAACATTTAACTTTATTTAATAAGAAAAAAAACAACTTCCTATTCTAATATCTACTATTCTCTTTGTAATGGAATTACCTCCCCCCCCCCACCACCGCCTTTTTAAATGTTTAGAAAAAAATAATTAATTAATATTTTATTTAAGATAAATAATTGTAATCTATTTTTTTCCCCACAATAAAATTTAAAGTAATGCTACTTTTGAAGGTGACGCGAGACATGGCTCAACACTTCATTGCGGGCAGGGGGGTCTTGCGAGACATGGCTCAACACTTCATTGCGGGCAGGGGGGTCTTGCGAGACATGGCTCAGCACTTAATTGCGGGCAGGGGGGGTCTTGCGAGACATGGCTCAACACTTCATTGCGGGCATGGGGTCTTGAACCTAAAATGCGTTGATGCTGCACTGTGTTTAGAAAAGATTGGGGGGGGGGGCAACACTCGTATAATTTAAACGCACGTACAGTTAACACTGAACCGAAGAGGGTACGACGGAGCACCCCATGCCATTTAAGTCTGAGCAATAATTCAAAAGCCGGATTAAAAGCGACTCGTCCTGTTGCATTTTTTTGTTTTTGATTTTAAAAGTCACGATAAACATGTTCCCCTTGAGAAGTACAGGGGTTCTTTAAACCTTTTCGTAGCGCCGCACCCGATCTTATTTCAAACTAATTTCCCGCGCTCCCACCTCGATGACATATATTTCCGAGCACACCGGGCCACAACCATTTCAGTTATATATTTTACAGACCCGCACCCCCCACCTCAACACCGTATTTTCAGCACCCCCTCCCACCTAGATTTCTTTTTTCCCGCACCCCCGTCTCGATGAAATACCCCACCCCCCACACCCCTACCTCAACCACATAAGTCCTGCACCACCCACGATTAAAACAAAATATAATAACAGTGCCAATAAGCCTGATTTTCTGGGTATCCCCGCATCCTTCCTCTCCCTCCCCCCCCCCACTCACCTTCTTTTCCTGACGCTAGTTAAGGAGCAGCCCTGCTTAAGAACTCCTGCCATTGAAGGAACCGATAACAGCCAATGAAACACAATACGCCTTAACCCTGTTACGCTCCTATCTGACAAGTTCCCTGGCGTAAAAGCCGAATTTAACACATGGTGTCAATTTTTGTTAAAAAATTCAAAATTCTGGAAACAATTTAAATAAAATATTAAACAACCCTTAAAAAAAAAAGAAAAAAAAAAAAGAAAAGTTTTTCGTTTGCATCCATTAAATGAATTTGTGTTTGCATTTATATAATTGTGCGTGATTTATCATTTATTAAGAATCGGTTACGCACATGGGTCAACTTCTGGCGAAAACACATTTCATATTTTCTTCATTGTTTTTCCCCTTCAAAAATTCATTATATTTTTTTTTTACTGCATACCCAACCACGTCACAAATATATAAAGCACATAGCAAACAGCTGCACAATTAATCTCCACACTAAAAACACGTTACCATTGAACTAATCATGCGTCATTCATCTTCCCCATTGAAAAACATTTTTTTAGTTAAAACTGATTTTGTAGGGTTGGGATCAATGTTCCCTTTAAGCTGGGCGGCTGCGCGGCAGTTTTGAGTACCGCGCAGCAAATTTCCATGTAAGTGAGTGTTTGTGTATGTGGGCTGTAAAACTTTGCACACAACTGTATGATGTTGCACACGAACCAACAAACCTTAAAGCAGTGGTTCTCAACCTTTCTGATGCCGCGACCCTTTCATACAGTTCCCCGTGTTGTGGCGACCCCCCAACCACAAAATTATTTTCGTTGATACTTTATAACTGTGGAGTACATGTGTTTTCAGATGGTCATAGGCGACCCCTGTGAAAGGGTCGTACGACCCCCAAAGGGGTCGCGACCCACATGAAGAGAACCGCTGCCTTAAAGGGAACATTGGTTGGGGTGAAGGGGATGGGGGGTACAAATTTTGATAGAATGTGTTTCCGTCGGCAACGAGTCAATGTGCCAAGTTTCAGTTCAATAGGATGGCGGGAAGTGGGTCAATGAGCCGTCCGAAGATTTTGCCTTAAACACAGAAACACACGAAGAAAAGTGAAGTAATATAAAGTTTGTTTTTTTTTATTATTGTTTTTAAACTCATGAATAAAAATTTTTTAAAAAAAAAAGAAGATATTTATCACTTCCGTTTTAACAGAGAGTTCGTCCACCTGCAGTGCAGCCGTGGGCAGAGAAGGACCCCCCCCCCACCCCCTCCCCTTAACTCGTTTCATCATAATTAATTAACACACAAAGTACTTACGAACTTTACTTTAAAACTCCGTTGGTTCTTCTTATTAGTATGTGGCTAAAATGAGATGTACCTAATATGTTTCAGTGTTCAAGATCCTCATCAAAGTCTTCATTCTGCTTGGGAAATTTTGCATCACCGCGTCCTACTCCATAATATACTTAATGGCGGCTGAACTTTTCCCAACCGTTGTGAGGTGAGCGAAGGGGAATAACTGAAAATCAGTGAACTTGTCCCAACTGTAAGTAGTCGAGAAGGGGAAAAAATAAAACAAAATGTAAAAAAAAAAAAAAAAAAGAAAAAAAAAACCAAGAAGGAATTTCACTTTTTTTACGAAAATTCCCGGATTGATTATTTTCTAAAAACTCGAAGAAACTTAATTAGCTTTTATTTATAAATATTTAGCATCAAGCATTATGGACTTGATGAAGCGTATATTTTTTAAAAAAAATTGTTAAGTTGAGTTCATGAACTTATTACTTTCCCCTTTCTTAATTTAAAGCCGGGTAACCTCTGAGTGATTACATCACGTATGTGAATATTTTAAGAACTGTTTTTGGTCCATTAACCCCCTTCTGCAAGAAAAATGCGAATAAAAAAATTCAATTTCACAATGACAATGTCTTAACGCAGAAGAAGAAATAGAAGCGTACGCCTCGAAAGTTTAAACTGTGAGTAAAATACGGCCACTAGGAGTTTATTTGTGGACAAAGAATGCAGTTGGTCTTGTATCGTGTTAGCAGGATGATTATGGTGAAAATGAATTTTCATGACAACTTTTGCTGAAAGGATATATATTGGGTTATCGGATCGATAGGTCTTATTTTTTTTTTTTTAGCATTGTTTTTTCAATACATTTACATTTTTTTGGAGATGTAGAGTTGAAACGATGGTCTACTCTCGACGCAAGTGCTTTGGATTGCCGTCTTTGTTTTCCCTCGTTCTTCTTTCTTCTTGTCTTGGAAGAGTACCGTGTTTTGAAATGATCAGCAAAACAAATGTAACACATCCGGTGTTGAAAAAAACTAAGTTATGAAGAACATGAGTCTTGGTGGAGATACAGAATAGGGGAATGAAGAAGTGTAGGAGCAGGTTAGGAGTTGTGCCTTGGTGTAAATATGAATTGGGGAATGAAGAAGTGTAATAGCATGTTAGGATTTGAGCTTTGGTGTAAATATGAAATGGGGAATGAAGAAGTGTAATAGCAGGTTAGGACTTGAGCTTTGGTGTAAATTTGAATTGGGGAATGAAGAAGTGTAATAGCAGGTTAGGACTTGAGCTTTGGTGTAAATATGAAATGGGGAATGAAGAAGTGTAATAGCAGGTTAGGAGTTGTGCCTTGGTGTAAATTTGAATTGGGGAATGAAGAAGTGTAATAGCAGGTTAGGACTTGAGCTTTGGTGTAAATATGAAATGGGGAATGAAGAAGTGTAATAGCATGTTAGGAATTGAGCTTTGGTGTAAATATGAAATGGGGAATGAAGAAGTGTAATAGCAGGTTAGGACTTGAGCTTTGGTGTAAATTTGAATTGGGGAATGAAGAAGTGTAATAGCAGGTTAGGACTTGAGCTTTGGTGTAAATATGAAATGGGGAATGAAGAAGTGTAATAGCAGGTTAGGACTTGAGCTTTGGTGTAAATATGAATTGGGGAATTAAGAAGTGTAATAGCAGGTTAGGACTTGAGCTTTGGTGTAAATATGAATTGGGGAATGAAGAGTGTTAATAGCAGGTTAGGACTTGAGCTTTGGTGTAAATATGAATTGGGTAATGAAGAAGAGTAGGGACAGGTGAGGAGTTGTGAAGAAATGTGCCTTGGTGCCGCTATGAAATTACGGGAATGAAGAAATTTTTGATAGGTCACGAGTTATGACAAGGGTAACTAGATGTAGAATCCAATAATACTTATTAGCCGTTAGATGAGCTCCCATTATCTATCTGGCCATTGACAGCCGATAACCCCCCCCACCCCCCTTTTCCCCAACCCTCCATGCACAGGAACGTTGGGATGGGCGTGGCGTCCATGTCGGCCCGGATCGGCGGTATCTTCGCTCCCATAATTTTGGACCTCAAGGATGTATGGGGGCCACTTCCGCTGCTCGTGTTCGGCACGCTGAGTGTTGTGTCTGGGCTGCTGGCGCTGTTCCTCCCGGAGACATCGAAGCGCCCCCTACCGCAGACGTTGCAAGATGTGAAGCACAGGAAACACGGGTAAACTTTGCGTTCACGTGATTTATTATTAATATATTTTTTTTTTGGGGGGGGGGGGGGGTGAAATTTTACTTTAGAAACTTAAGTGTTTTTTTTTTTACACACCTATCTCCCTCCACCTTTTCCTAAAAAAAAAGAAAAGAAAAAAAAGTGCTTTCGAATCTCATTTATCAGCATTGACATCTATCACATATCCCACATCTGCCACGTTCACCTGTCACGTTCACCTGTCACGTCACCTTTCACTTTAAATTTCACGTAAAAAAGGTACATTTATCACGTTCAGTTGTCGCGTTCATTTTTTAAAAATTTATTTGCTTTACAAAACTATCAATTCCAATGGAGGTTAATTGAAAGGTAACTTCTTATTGCATTGTGTGTGTTAAATCAACAGGGCCCATAAGATTGGCTAAGATTTAGTGCATGCCATAATAACTCCATCTAGTGATACAACTAGCGACCCGGAGGCTACCCACACGCTTCCTAAGTTTGAGATTTGAACTACGCAATGATATGTTGTTGTTTTTTTTTGTGTGTGTTTGTTAAATCAGCAGGTCCATAAGATTGGCCAAGAAGATATAGTGGCTGCCATAATAACTGCATGATACAGTGATACAACTTACAGTTGGCACGAAAGCACCTGGAAGTCCCCTCTCCTCCCCCCCCCCACTTCTACTTCCTACGTTTGAGATTTGAACTACATGATTATATGTTGTTGTTTTTTTTTGTGTGTTAAATCTACAGGTCCATAAGATTGGCCCAGAAGATATAGTGGCTACCATAATAACTCGATGATACAGTGATACAACCTACAGTTGGCATGAAAGCACCTGGAGGCTCCCTCCCACCCCTTCCCCCCACACCCTTCTGCTTCCCGAGTGGGAGATTTGAACTACGTGATTACATGGTTTCTTGTTTGTTTGAAGTTTGTGCGGATGTGGAGCTAGAGAGTATTTCATTACACATAAACATTCTTGCGAATCACAGACATTTTCAAAGACGGATTTAAAAAAAAAAAAAAAAAAAAAAAAAAAAAAAAAAAAAAAAAAAAAAAAAATTTAAAAAAATTATTATTTTATTCAATTTTTTTTTTTTTTTTTTTTTTAAACTACGTGATTACATGGTTTCTTGTTTGTTTGAAGTTTGTGCGGATGTGGAGCTAGAGAGTATTTCATTACACATAAACATTCTTGCGAATCACAGACATTTTAGAAGACGGATTTAAAAAAAAAAAAAAAAAAATAAATAAATAAATAAATAAAAAATAACGAAATTTAAACAATGTTGATGTTATCCCACTTTGTTCATTGCTTGCATTTCTACCGACTGCAGCCATTCAACAAACGTCCCTTGTCATTGTTTGTATGTTTGTCATAGTTTGGCTACAATAAAATACAACATTTTATAATCAAAGAGTTCATATAAGTAATTTTTTTTTCTGTCAAAAGACTTTTTTAAATTATTTTTTTGTTTTGTTATTTGATGTTTATGATAAGCAATTCGGCTGCATAAAATCTATACGTTCGTTATAACGGCATCTGAAATTAATTTACGAATTCCTATTAAAGATGTTAACCCCCCCCCCCTCCTTTACACTAGCACACACCTACATAATAATAATAATAAAATAAAGTAAATAAAAATAATTAAATAAATAAATAAAGAGTACACTTTTTAAAAAATATATATTTTTTTTAAAATTAAATAAAATGCACAATAATTATTAAGATGACATTTTTTTTATAACGTAAGAAACAGGATTTTAAAAAAAATAAATGATTTTAGTTGTTTTAAATCCTTTATGAAATTAAAAACTAACAAACAAAAAAAAAAAAAAAAAAAAAAAAAAAAAAAAACAAAAAAAAAAAAAAAAAAAAAAAAAAAGAATTAAAAAAAAAAAAAAAATTTTTATTAATTTAAAAAAAAAAAAAAAAAAAAAAAAAAAAAAAAAAAAAAAAAAAAAAAAAAAAAAAAAATGCACCTAGCAGACGAGCAATGATAACGGGAGGTGTGTGTGCGTGTGTGTGTGTGTGGGGGAGGGGTGATTGGGTGGTGAGGTCAGAAATGTCTTCTTCGCACTCCTGGCCAGAACCAGCCACTCACGGCCTGCCGTTCGGTGCAATGTACAGTGAAATGTGTTTCACAGCTTCAATTCCCTGGTCCAGAAACGGAACAAAACACGTAAATCAAAGCAGGGGGGGGGGTGTTGTGGCTGATGTACGACAACCGCTAATGGGTGCAAAACTCTTACCTGACGATCTGTCTCGTCTGTCTCTATTAAAGGGGTTGTCTACTGCCGTTTTGGAGCAGATGGCAAATTATTACTTTTTTTTTTTTTTTTTTTTAAAGAAGAAGAAGAAAGAAAGGAAAAAAAACTCCAGAACCCAGCTTCATTCTGTTTAGTCATACATTTTAGAATAATAATATCGACGGTACAAATTAGATCACTCGTACTGTCTACCTACGTCAGTGTTTCTCAACCTTCCTAAAGCCGCGACCCCTTTCATGCGGTTTCTCATGTTGTGAAGACCCCCTACCAATGTTCCCTCTAAGGTTTGCTGTTTCGTGTGGAAAATCCTACAGTTGTGTGCAAAGTTTTACAGCATCATTTTTGTGTGCAATTTTACAGCCCACAAACACAAACACACACTGTCATGGAAATTTGCTGCGCGGATACTCAAAACTGCTGCGCGGCGTCTGTGAGATAGTAGGTCAGTGATGTGTTTGAAAATGAGAATAAAATGGCAAAACAACATTAGTAGGTCAGTGATGTCTTTGGAAATGAGAATAAAATTGCAAAACAACATTAGTAGGTCAGTGATGTCTTTTACGATGAGAATAAAATTACAAAACAACTTTAGGAGGTCAGTAAGGTCTTTTTAAATGAGAATAAAAGTGCAAAACAGCCCCCCACCCCCCTTTTTTTGTGTCACCCTCTTAAAAAATAAGCTGACAGCAACCCAAACAGTGGTAGGTAAAGTAAAATTAAAAAAAAACAAAAGATTTAGCATACATTCATAATTAGGTGACTAAACTAGTCAGTGATCTCACCCAGAACATGTGCCCGTAGCCCGAGGATTGTTTAACTTCTGATCATCACAGAGACGTGTGTGCACGTGAAGTGTGCTCGGACCTGGTCAAGGCCTGGAGCCTGGTCCTTAACAGGTTTCCACAGTGGCATTTCAAGTTAATAGGAAAAGGGGGGGGGGGAAGAAGTGGGGAGGGGAAGAATAATTTTTAGAACATATCCAGGCACACGTGGCGATGATGAGACGGGTGGATTAGTCTATCTCTAACGGTAACGCCAAATAAAACCTGTGTTAATTGTACGCTTATCCATCCACACGGGGGCATTTTGCACTATGAACACCCTTTAATAAGACTTTGATCTTGAAGAAGAAATAAAAAATTTAAAAAAAACAACAACAAGAGATAATGTGTCTTAACTATGTTCAAAAAATGTTTAAAAACTTCTTTTTTTTTTAAAACGATATTCTATTGAGGACGCCTACATAATTTATTTCAGAAGGGGCGGGGGTGTGGGGGGGTGGGGGCTGGAGGTGAAGGATACTGAGGTAATAAACAATGATTATAAATAGAAAGGGTGAGTCCCACTTTAATGCACCCACATTAAAGAACGAAACTACACACTCATGTGTACATCTATTGAGATGAGAAACATTTTTTAAAAAAATTGTAGTCTGCCTATTTTCTACTCGAAATGCTCTTAGTAAGCTAATATATATATATATATTTTAATAAATTATCCTGATTTAGTTCAAAAGCAACTTTTAGCCACGTAAGGCCAAGCAACGAAAAACATTATTTAAAGAACGAGAATGAACAGAAAATCCTAATGTTTGCTACGCTCTTGCATCAATCAAGGGCTGCTCAATGGTTTGGCTTCGTTGTATCTAGCATACTCAGCCCACTGCTCAACGTTCTTTTATCATGGGACACTCGATACTTCTGCATCATTGGATACTTCACAACACACTTAATTAATGTGTCTTGGAATATACATTACTTTCATTGACATCATGGCCATCCACTATCAGATAAGATACTTTTTATTGATCCATATATATACATGTACTTTTTTTTTTCCTTCATCGTACATATTTTTTTTTTCCCCTTTAGTCGTGGATATCCTTGTTTCAGTTTTTCGTTGTTCCTTAACATTAATCTGCAGCGAAACTTTCGTCGCAAAACTGTACGGAAATCTGAGTTCCTGATTTTTATATCATCAATGCGTGTGTTTTAGAAACAATCTATACTAGGTTGTTCGTGATTCTTTCTGTCCTCTATCACCAAATCCAGACTATTCAATGGCGGCCCCGTGCAAGCCAGTACAACTATGGCCTTTGCCTTTCTATGAATACCATCAATGGGCCCCTATCAGATGGGGCCTCGCAAAAATACGTAAACAAAACGGGAACAGCCGGCACGAGGGTGGGGGGGGGAGAAGAAGCTCCCCCCAGCGCACGTGTATAAAATTTCACGTGCATTTGATTTAGCAGGGTCAAGGGTCAGGAAGTTCACGCGGAAGATGTACCTTCAGAATACCGAGGGAGGGGAAGGGCTTGGGGGAAGGGTTTGGGGAGGGGGTGGGGGATACCGGAAAGGGATGAAACCGGTAAGCTTGTAGTGGGCAATACCCGTGTGATGGAATCGATTCCGGTTAACAATTTGTAATTATGTTTTTTTTGTTTTTTTTTGAAAAAATAAAAATAAAATAAACAGACCTTATAAAAATAACATGTCAGCACTTTTGTACCATGTACTTGATATTAACTTTTTTTCTTTTTAAATTTGATTTTTTTTATTCAGTCTTAAATATTATAATAATACCCCTTACTCAGATTATAAGACTCGGATTCAGTTAAACATAGCCAGTAATTTAAGGAAATGTTATCATAATCTGAAGGACGGACCTAGTTTTTAAGTGTAAACATAAAATTATCCACCAAACATTTGTTTTGATGGAACGAGGGAGGAACCCCCCCCCCTCCCGCCCCGCCCAGCTAAGGGAGAACACCCCAGGTACTTTCCTTTACTGAATTACTTCGTACTCGGATTGTCCACTCGGCCAGGGGCTCGGCTTTTAGCCATGAGAGAACCGGTAGCGGAAGAGTTTTAAGCCCGTGATCAAGGAGACGAAAGTGAAAGGAGACAAGTGGAGATCACCGAGCATATGCCAGAAACTCACAAAGCGGGGGGAGGTAATGCATCGTTTAACAAGGCTACCTGCTTTTTTTTTTTTAAAAAGGGTTTGAGGAATTCTTCATTGGTAGAGGTTTTGAAATAGGCGCCGGCGTTTTTCGGATATGTACGGCGCGGGACTAATAGACGAAGTACTTGGTCAAACATTCCCTCTAATTGCCTTCAGGAAGTAGCAGACGCAAAGAAAACCGCACACACGGGATTTTGTTTCTGGTTAAAATCGGGACTATTTGTGAGGAATTCTTTTCATGTGCTCTAACCGATTTTTTCCCCCCTTGACGGATTTGTAGTTTCCTTCTTCTTCTTCTTCCGTTTTCATTAAGGGATAAAGACAGACGAAGAGTTGTAAGTATTTGGTTTATTTACTTTTTTTATATTTAAAAAAAATATTTCATTTAATTAATGTGTAGTAATTTTTAGTTATTGCCATCTACGCTTAGGCTACTCATTCATATGAAATGACGATAGCAGAACACAAAAAAAATATAAATAAACAATCCTCATCTGGAAATATCAGACAAGAGATGAGATGAGAAGAAAAAAAAAAGATATTAAAAAAAAAAAAAGAAAAATTAAAAAAAAAAAAAAAAAATAAAAAAAAAAACCTCAACTGGAAAAAACAAAAAAAAGAAGAAAAGAAAAAAAAAAAAAAAAATAATAAAAAAAAAAAAAAGGTAAATTTGGAGAGATAGCACCGCGGCCGCCATCTTGGTTTCCGCGACCCGCGAACTTATGTCCTAAATGTATCCCTAAACCTAACCTGAACCCTAAATCTATCCCTAAA